AATAAGCACCACTATGTGGAAAAGAGACAGAATACTACACACTACACTTGCCACATAACTGCTGTAGAATCTGTGGCAGTAAAATAAGGCACTCGTGGCTGATGGAATAGAAGCACAGATCAGCACAGCTTCATGAAAAGAAGGATGTCAGAATGACTCTGTCACGAAAATGAAAGGAGCACCGATATTCCAACGTAACAAACTTTCCTTTTTACCTAGGATATGGACACAGTTCCGTAAAAATTGAAACTATCAGCTAAAAAAGGAAGCTATCCATATGCTACATCTGATAAGCAGCTGATTCAATCGATAGCCATGAACACAACTAACTCGGGTTATAGAATATAGTGCTCAGCCAAATGCACCTATCTGCATAAAAGGCATATAAATCTACGGTATTTTGGCACCTACATCTCATCTGGGCATAACGCATCGTTTAACTGACCGGATCATTTTTGTATCATTCACTAGGTTAATATCGTTCATAGGTTAATATCCATATAATCATGTCGAATGCCTATGGTCATTGTGTTAATGCGTCATTTCAATCAGTCTCCAACAATAATGGCTTCGGTCAATGCATCAGAACTGTATTGGCCTTCACTTCCCTTGCCTAAACTTGTTCCAAATTATTCCCTCGTTTCTCAGTTGATTTTAACATCCTTTCAGATACGTCTGCATCTTCTTATTTCAAAAGTAATATTAACTTACAATTTTGCTTTGAACATTTTTCCTGCATTCATTTCCTGAGACAGAAACGCGTTAATTTTGAATCGGTAGAGGCCATATCAATCGCATTACTAATAAAATTGTCAACCCCTTTTGTGTTGACCCGTTGATGGACAAAGTAGCCACTGGTTAAAGGTAGTACTTCGGCTTTCTTCGTGTCCATTAGCACCGATTTTGAAGACTTCTTTCATTGACGTTAAATCGATATGCACTTCTAAAGGAAGTCGTTGTTTCGCGATTCTTCCATGTGAACATTCAAAATAATTCTATATCTCGTAGAAGCATCATTTAGAGGACGAAGGAAACTGGGTATTACATATAACGAGCTTCCTACGTCGTTTACGACGTTCCTCGCACAAAACAGTAGCATCGTTATTTTGAAAGAAAACAAGAAAAGTCAACGTTTTGTCGATGATGACGTTTCGTTTCCCAAGCAAAAAGCCAACTGGAGTACGGAATATAACGCATGCTGTTTTTTAACATCGAAACAAATTGTCATTTTTAAAGTTAAGGTTTTAAGATTTAAAACATGAAATGATAAAGCAAGATCGTGCCAAGTCGATTAGCAGAACCGAATCCAGTTAATGGGACCGAACACCAGTAAACAGACTGAAATGAATGACAGAAGTTTACCATAATTCTCATATTCAGTAATTGTTTCCAAACAGGGGTCAAAATATATTTAAGAATCGTCAACATCAACACCGATGAAGTTGGAAGAGGGGTGGGAAATCGTCGGAAAAAATGTCATCTACTGGTAACAGTGTTCAGTTACACTGACTTAAGATGAAACTGCAGCACACGAATAATTGTACAAGCTTCTGGGATCAGATAATGCAGCAGGCGAAACAATATCATAAAAGTACACTCCATGATCGCCGAGAATCTGAATTTCAGGTATCATGTATTGAAGTACTTTGCAAAGATATGTTCCTCAGAAGAGATACGATAATTAAAAAATGCTTGGCCTAAATACAGATTATAAACCTCCATTCCATCCGTCAACTTTGCTCTAAAAATATCAGCCTAATAGGTAAATTTGCCTCAAAGACATAATCTTCTACATCTCTCATCTTATTAGAAAAGGCGGCATCGCGTAACACTACACTTAGAACTCAAAACTGAAAAGGTACATAAAAACCACATATGCAAACTGCTCTATACTTATCAAACGCCAGAGCAATTTATAGCTACTATGCTTACGAAATATAAAATATTTAAAATCTACACCTCTACAATCAGAACAGGATTTTTCGAAATACAATAAATTTGGCATGTAGTATTTAAACATTGAATTGTTTCGTGCAAGTTGATTCAGAATAATAAAAAGAAGATAAGTCGGGGCATTACCAGATATCCCGTTGATAAAAGTCCATTTTTTCAGCCAACGTGTTGTTCAACGCAAAGCAACGACAGATGGCGTCACCGATCAACTCGACAGTGTTCAAACAGCTAGAGCTGAGACGATTTAAAACTCCGGTCCGGAAATTCAACCTGGAAATCAGCTTCAAACATTCCAGATGCTTCTGTTCTGCCAGCACGGAAGCAATGCCGTGTTCAGTCACGCCATCTGGGTACGTACTCATCGCCTCCATAAAAGCAAATTCCCTCAGGCTGCAACCGGAGGCAGCGATAGCAAACAAAAAACGGTCGTTCAAGTGTGAGCAGTTGCTCAACTGTAGATAATCGAGGTTTGAGAAAAAGTCAACATCCAAGATTTCTATCAGACGATCTGCATCGAAGCTATCGTGCCGCAAAATGCGCTCCAGAAGAAGACTCTTGATTAAAGGGGGTAGCGAACGAACCTGAAAGATGTTTGACGAGTTGGCTATATTGTCGGCCACGAATGACAAGCATATATCTATTAGAAGCCGCATCCGGAATGGCTTTCAGTACAGATCTCATTACAGCGCACCGGCCACTGCACAGAAAATTGGTACACAGAGAGCACAGCGAGAGATATGTTTGCCCTTTTAATCGTTCTAAAAAGAATCTGCATCGTCGACGCGTGATAACAAAGTGTTCCATTTCTCTGAATACATTCAAACAATAGCATAAAAAAACGAACAAGAGCCTCCGAACCAACAGACTCTGCAAAATGTTAAATACAATAAACAAGCTACATATCATAAAAACAACGCAGAGCAAAGTATCGCATACATCACAACTCTGCTGGTTTCAGTCGCCATAAAAAGAGCAGGAACCTGTTTACGTAGTCTACTGCTAAAAACTCCGCCAACAGCTGCCAACTCCAGTAGCAGCAGCATCACAGAACAATATCCTGCGCTGATCAACAGGAACACCACGAAATGGGTGTCGACTACGCGATATTGTTTTTCAGCGTAACAGTTCTTATTGGCGTTCACGTTTCAATATCTTCTCATGTCCTGGGTCCACTGTCGATGGTTTTTTTGAGTCATGGACCTCAGGATCGGCACTGACGATCTTCACCGCGTCACTTGCGTGCTCTTGTTCTTCTTTCTTGCTTTCTGCTTTCAGAAATCCTTCTTTCTTTAACAGGTTTACTATGCGAGTCATTTGTTGCGCATTGATTTGAACATTTTCGGCAGCAAGAAGGTCGATTGCCTAAAGCAGCAACTCTTAGCATTATTTAAACAGAACGATCGAAACGTTTTTTCTCCATTTTAATTCCTAAAAAATCCAAGCGCATTGCAACGAATGAGACAACATGATTTAGTGTTGTTTACGGTTCGGTTCTTCTCAGGTCAAATTCATAGATTCAGTATTCACGAAAACTGAATATCAGCTTTCCATATTAGCCCGATGTTGACAGAACAGATTTACATTCTTTTCTCATAACTGAACTGCCCTTTTGCATTTCATGCCCAGCTCATTTCTATCTGCGATATGTAACAACAGACTGATATTAATAATAGGCACATTCGTCTGACTGGAAGACTGTCCGTCTGTGACTGAATGGCGGGCAATAACGGAATTGTCCGCTTGTCCAAGACGAACAGCAGGCAGGTGCTGTTTGATCCAGATGTTCAAATTCCAGTAGGTCGTTCCAATGAACACTGTAGCGCAGTTTCCTGGACCCTGTATATAATGTTTAACACATCTTCTGAGTTAGTGGGCATGTACCTCTTAAACAAAATACAGTCCAATGTTCTGCCAGACGTGAAATGACATCAAATGCAAAATGTAGATGGATAACCCTTGTCTGTCAATGTCAATGCCGTCTTCAGACAGTTAAACAGGGACTCCTAAACGTAGGGGAGATGGTGTCTTTGGGTATCCCTATTTTGATGTTGATACGACGGAGTTCCACGAACAGCTTGATGTCGGCTGCGGTGTCAATATTCAGTTGCTCAATCAGGTAGAAGTAGGCATAACTGATACCGCAGTCGTTCAAGGCGTTTAGGGCAGAGCCAAAGTCGATGGAACCCAACGCTTTACTGAAATTGATGAATGTCACTGTTAACTGCTCCACGACATGGATATGATCTGTGGTGGAATACCTCTTTGGAAACCTGCTTCTTCGTTACTAACGAGCAGTTCTAGGTCGTTCCGGAAACTGCTGAGGATGAATAAGGTACCGATATAGCTGACTTGTGACCAGAGAGCGATGGGTCAATAGTGTTGAGGCATTCAGCATCAAATTTTTTGAATAGAAGAATCGTCGAATAACTCTTCCATGCTTCTGACACCTCCCCGAGCCTGATATTTTCCGTAAATTGTTCGGCAAGGGCTATGAACAGGCTCATTCTTCACGACTTGAGATGTTCCGGTTTTATGCTGTTCCTGGCAAGATATCTGTCTCTCTTGAAACTCTTGAATACCCACTCCACGTTATTCCAATGGCATCGCGAACAATTTCCAAAGCAATGTGCGGCAGCTTCCAGCTTATATCTGTTTTGAAGAGCAGAGGTTGTTATAGAACCTCGTGCAGATGGCTTTTACGAAACAGAATTCTGTGGTTTTTAGTTCCCCCGTCGTCCCTCAGTGCTACCGGAATCCGCCTTTTAGGGGGGTGCCGTTTCTGCGGCCTGAATGTGACAACTATCAGTTTATTTCTCCTGCACTTTTCATAGTATTTCAGAATTTCCCTCTATATTTCTTTGCAAAATGCAGTGTATGCTCGTAGCGCAGTTGCTCATGAGCTTTCATTCTGGCTCTTTTCGTCAACGGCTGCCACGTTGCAGGGCTGTTGCATTGTTTCCTTATCGACATTGCTGCCTGACTAGATGACGGAATGGCGTAGTTTTATGGTAGCGATGAGGTGCTATTAGGCTACATCGGTGCCTCTGCTGAAGTCCACTATGGGTTTCGGCTGAGGACGTTTGTCTAAGAATGCTTAAGGATGCAATATTCGTACAACGTCAGGTGGTCTTTGGGTCCTTCTTACTCCATCTTCTCTAACGACGTCAATGACTATGAAAAGAAGAACAAAATATTCGTTCATACTTAATAGGATAGTGTCAGTGTTAAGCAATTTTTTAAAGCTTCTAATGACAAAACCAATCTGTAATACACAAATGGGTAAATTACTGCAATTGCTGCAATCGAAATTGAATTAAATTTTTTAGAATCAAATTTTAGAAATAGATTTACGCGTGAAATGCAAATCTATTTAAAAATAGAAACTCCGCCATTGCCAGTCCCAAGCCCGGATGAGAAAGGAGGAGGGTTGGAGACCGTGGCAAGTCTCCG